CTGGGCATGGTGGCACGTGCCTGTAATCCCAGCTACTCAGGAGGCTGAGGCAGGAGAATTGCCTGAACCCAGGGGGCGGAGGTTGCGGTGAGCCGAGATCGTGCCATTGCACTCCAGCCTGGGTAAAAAGAGCGAAACTCCATCTCAAAAAAAAAAAAAAAAAAAAAAAAAAAGAGCAGGCTCTGTCCCTGGTAGCAGTAGGCAGAAGTAAAAACAATATATATTCATAGGGAAAAGAACTGGAAAAAGAATTAGGCAAAATAAGCATGTGGTTTTGTATCTTGTTTTTTAAAACAGCTTATTGTAATAAATTAGATATTATCGAAAAAAACAGAATTTGAAGTTCAGAAAATCAAATCAGTTTTAGGGGTTGAGAATCTCATTACATACTTTTGTCTTTCAGAATTGTTTGTTTATTTATTTATTTAGAAATGGGGCTTTGCTATGTTGTCCAGGCTGGAGTAGAGCGGTGCAATCATACCTCACTGCAGCCTCAAACTCCTGGGCTCAAGGGATCCTCCTGTCTCAGTCTCTTGAGTAGCTGTCACTATGGGCAGGTACACCTCAACTTGTTCCTGGACCAAACAGAAGGTTGGGTTGCTTATTCTTGCAGCCCAGTAATGAGATGCGGATAAACTGGGAAAGAAGGGAGTTCACTGCTGTAACTGAGTACAGGGAGAAGGCCTGGAAAACATCACAAGACCAGTTCAAAATTACAAAGTTTCCGGAGCTTATATATCTTCTAAGCTATATGTCTATGTGTATGTGTGTATTCACCTAAAGACATAAGTGATTGATTTCTTCTAATCTGTAACTAAAATCTGAGTCCTCAAGGCCTTCCTCTGGACTCTCAATTAATTTACTTAATCTAAATGGGTCCAGGTGCTAGGGTGATTACTCTTATCTTATCTCCTGCTAAATCACAGAGTTTTGGGGAGTTCCTTTAGTCCTCAAGAAAGCTTTTTTGTGAAGGTCTGGGGAGTTTCTTAAGACTCACAATAAAACTTGTTTAATCCCAAATGGGTCCTGTTAAGAATTCCTTTGTGCTGGACGCGGTGGCTCACGCCTGTAATCCCAGCACTTTGGGAGGCTGAGGCGGGTGGATCACGAGGTCAAGAGATGGAGACCATCCTGGTCAACATGGTGAAACCCCATCTCTACTAAAAATACAAAAAATCAGCTGGGCATGGTGGCGCGTGCCTGTGATCCCAGCTACTCAGGAGGCTGAGACAGGAGAATTGCCTGAACCCAGGAGGCAGAGGTTGCGGTGAGCCGAGATCACGCCATTGCACTCCAGCCTGGGTAACAAGAGCAAAACTCTGTCTCAGAAAAACAAAAAAAGAATTCCTTTGTTATCTTGTTATGCTTCAAGGCCTAGGAAAGGGCTAGGCAACTGTTTGTGGGCTTTTGTTACATTCCAGCCTTGGTATAGGGCACTGGTTCTACTAGCTTTTAATATTAACTTAATCACTCAGTGATGAAACACTTGTTACGAAGGCCTACATGTTTAGCCATTAGAAAGACCTGGCCTGCCACAAACTTGCCTGGCTAATTTTTAAATTTTTTGTAGAAGCAAGGTCTTGCTTTTTTGCCCAGGCTGGTCTTGAAATCCTGGGCTCAAGTGATCCTCCCATCTTGTCCTCCCAAAGTGTTGAGATTATAGGCATGAGCTACCATGCTTGGCCATCTTTCAAAGTTTACATGTGTATTAGGCCATGTTCTTATTGCTGATAAAGACATACCCAGGAGTGAGTAATTTATTTATTTATTTATTTATTTATTTTTGAGACGGAGTTTCGCTTTTGTTACCCAGGCTGGAGTGCAATGGCACGATCTCGGCTCACCGCAACCTCCGCCTCCTGGGTTCAAGCAATTCTCCTGCCTCAGCCTCCCGAGTAGCTGGGACTACAGGCATGCGCCACCATGCCCAGCTAATTTTTGTATTTTTAGTAGAGATGGGGTTTCACCATGTTGACCAGGATGGTCTCCATCTCTTGACCTCGTGATCCACCCGTCTCGGCCTCCCAAAGTGCTGGGATTATAGGCGTGAGCCACCGCGCCCGGCCCTAAGACTGAGTAATTTATAAAGAAAACGAGGTTTAATAGACTCACAGTTCCACATGGCTTGGGAGGCCTCACAATTATGGCAGAAGGCAAAAGGCACATTTTACATGGTGGCAGGCAAGAGAATGAAGCCAAATTAAAGTGGTTTCCCCTTATAAAACCATTAGATCTCATGAGACTTATTCACTAGCAAGAGAAAAGCACATTGGGGAACCGCCTCCGTGATTCAATTATCTCCCACTGGGTCCCTCCCACAACATGTGGCAATTATGGGAGCTACAATTCAAGTTGAGATTTGGGTGAGGACACAGTTAAACCATGAAAGCAGCCAGGAGGGAGGGCGTACCCTGCAAAGCTACAGAGGTGGAGTTGAGACAAAAAGCAGGCGGGGATGCCTGATACTCCCCCTCTTTTCCCCTTAAAGTCAAGCACTTGTTTTACTAGTTCATTCACTGGAAGGAAAAGGCAGCTCCTCCAGTTCTCATTCATCCACGGAACTCAGTATTACAATCACATTCAGATGAGCTGTCACAGGCTTTTTTAAAAATAGTGGATTCTGATTGCCACAGCTTTGTTTTAGAAGCAGCACAGAAGAATATACTGGGCTTCTTTCCTTCAATTACAGAAAAAGCTACTCAATACCTCTAAAATTCTGCAGATTTACAGAAAAAGCTGCTCGATACCTCTAAAATTCTGCAGATTAAAGGTATGATTTCTAGGGGAAAAAAAAACCTTTAAGAAAATTCAGTTGCATCAAAACAAACAGAAAACTGGGGGGGGGGGGTTGGGGCAGGAGATAATGTTTCTGTTCTGTATCCCCCAGTATAACTCAGCAAAGCAGGCTGCACACTGGCTCTGTGAGGACTTGGAGTGGCTGCCTAAGGGCAGGATTTAGCCTGCACTGTCCCTCCCTAGTTAACACTGAGCACTTAATACTAAGGGCAGAGAGGATGACTGGCATTCAGACCCTGGACAGGGCCAGATCCAGCAAGGGAGGGCTGGAAATGATTAAATTCAGCTTGTATTGAAGGAGAGCGTGAGCTAGGAGGGAAATAGGAGAGAACACCATGGTCTCTCAGGACAGGGGCCTCTTTTAGGGGTGCTTCATTCTGACTGAGAAGCTTTCAGAATACTATTTCTTCTACAAAGTCTATCCTGAACCCTTATTAGATCTCTGATGACACTTATTTATCTCTCTTTAAAAGACTTACAGGAGTTCTAACAATTCATTTAGCTTACAGACATGTCTCATTTCTCTGTGAACCCTGAAAATCTGAGACCGGTCTCAGTTAATTCGGAAAGTTTATTTTGCGAAGGTTGAGGATGTGCACCTGTGACACAGCCTGAAGAGGTCCTGATGACATGTGCCAAGGTGGTCAGAGCACAGCCTGGTTTTATCCATTTTAGGGAGACATGAAACATCAATCGACATATGTAAAATGAACATTGGTTTTGCACAGAAAGGTGGGACAACTCAAGGCAAAAGCAGGACAGGGAGGGTCTTCCAGGTCACAAGTAGGTGACAGACAAACACTTGCATTCTCTTGTTTCTGATTAGCTTTTCCAAAGGAGGCAATTAGATACGCATTTATCTCAGTGAGCAGAGGGATGGCTTTGAATAGAATGGGAGGCAGGTTTGCCCTAAGCAGTTCGCAGCTTGACTTTTCCCTTCACTTAGTGATTTTTGAGAGCCCCAAGACTTACTTTCCTTTCACATTTCCCCCTTCCCTTTTTAAAAATATTTTGGAGAAAGCATTAGGAGAAAATGACACTCTGTTCCCAGGTTTCATCTAGTATTTCATGGCTAGGAAGGATGGTTTATTTCTAGACGGGGAGGTCCCAAGTTATTAGGAAAGCTCGTATTTAGAAGGTTGTGAAGTCTCATGTCCTGCGAAGAGAAAATAGGGGGAGAAAGGTAGAAAAACAACAAAAGAACAATCCTGGAAAATTGATATAAAACACATTACTCTGAAGTTCATACATCAGTAGGCAGGTATGAAAGTGGCTTATGTATATATATATAAGATTGCTGTTATTTTCTTCTGAAGTTTGTCTAGCTTCAGTTTGCATGACATATCTTCCTTCTATGTCATGGAAACAGGAAATCTTACCTTCCGTGTTGGAAGAAAATAAAATTCAGAAAAATCTTTTTTTTTTTTTGAGACGGAGTTTCGCTCTTGTTACCCAGGCTGGAGTGCAATGGCGCGATCTCGGCTCACCGCAACCTCCGCCTCCTGGGTTCAGGCAATTCTCCTGCCTCAGCCTCCTGAGTAGCTGGGATTACAGGCACGCACCACCATGCCCAGCTAATTTTTTTGTATTTTTAGTAGAGACGGGGTTTCACCTTGTTGACCAAGATGGTCTCGATCTCTTGACCTTGTGATCCACCCGCCTCGGCCTCCCAAAGTGCTGGGATTACAGGCTTGAGCCACCGCGCCCGGCCCCAGAAAAATCTTTTTTAAAAAAGTTTTTTTTTTTTTAGACATTGTCTGGTTCTGTCGCGATCTCAGCTCACTGCAACCTCCACCTCTCGGGTTCAAGAGATTCTCCGGCTTCATTCTCCCGAGTAGTTGGGCTTACCAGGCGCGCCACCACGCCCAGGTAATTTTTGTATTTTTAGTAGAGACGGGGTTTCACCACGTTGGCCAGGCTGGCCTCGAACTCCTGATCTCCACCCGCCTCGGTCTCCCAAAGTGCTGGGATTACAAGCATGAGCAACAGCGCCCGGCCTCTAAATACATTTATCGGATCAAAAGAAATTTAAAAACCAACCAACCCTAATGAGCTCTAAAGACAGTAACACGCACAGGACTTGGAAGGAGCCTCTTCCTTACCAGGGTTTTCCTGACTTCGGGGAGCGGCTGCCTCCCCTCCCTGCCGCAGCCCGGGAGGCTGAAACCCTTTCCGCACCTGGCTCCACCTCCCCGGCCCCTATCCCTGCCACGCAGTCCCGGAGCGAGAGGCGGCGGGGAAATCTGGAGCCCGGCTTAGGGGCGAGACGGCCGCACCGGGCGCCTAGTGATCCGGGCACCTTCGGTGGGAGGAGGGCCAGGCCGGGCGCCCAGGGTGGAGGAGGCGTCTCGGGGCCCCCACTGACAGCCACGCCGCCCTGGGCCCCGCCCAGCGCAGCCCCAGCGCGCGCTAAGTGAGCAGGCGCTTCCGGGTGGCCGAGGCCGCAGGCCCGGAGTGCGGGTGGAGGGGCTTCCAGAAGGACCCGGCGGCAGCGCCCCCACTCGGCTCTCCCGACAGGAGCGCGGGCACCTGCGCGGTGCCGGGTGAAGGCGAACGCATCGGCGAGCCCTCCGCAGAGGAGGCCCTTGCCCATTTGGTTTTGGGTAAGAGGAGGGGTCCGCGTCTCTGCAGCTGGGGCGGGATGCCTCGGCGCCCTCTGCTCGGTTTGGTTCGGCCTCGCGCTTTCCCTTAGCCCGGCAGCCGGGATACGGGTGGGGAAGGGGGCCTCGTTCCCTACTGGACGAGGGCGCGGCCGCAGCGGGGTAAGGGTAGGATGGACCATCTGGCCAGAACACAGGGGGTCCTCATGCGCCACCCTCTCGGCTTCTCTGTGGGCGTCTCCGGCAGCATCATCTGGCGTTTATTATTTGGAATAATGTGCCAAGCAGGAGGAGGCGGTGGGTTAAACACGCGGCCCTGCAGCTCCAGGTGAAACGACTCATTGTTTCCTGCCGGCGAAGTTTACCGAAGGGGACCCAGGCCCCACGAAGGGAAGGAACCGTCTCAAGGTCACGTCGTAGTCAAAGGCCGAGCCAGCCTAGACCCAAGCCGTGTGTCCTGCCTTCCAGCCCCGGGCTCTAGGCCCTGTCCCCTTTCCGACCGCATCTCCCGGTCCTGTCCCCGTCCCTCCTCCTCCTCCCACGTCCTCCCAGAGGCTCCGTTCCCTGCGTTTGGGGAGTGCTCCCTCCGCGCCGCAGCGCCCAGGTGAAGGCTGGACCGCGGGCAGCCCGCCGGGCCAGCTGCCTGAGCAAGGCCGAGCCGACGGTTGCTAGAGGACCAGAGGGGTCGCAGGGCCGGGGAAGGAGGAGAAGCCGCGGGGGCAGGCTGGGGATGCCAGAGTGGTGGTGGGCCCGGGACTTGCCTGGGCTGGAGCCCAGGCGGCGCACTAGCGCGAGCACCTGGGGGCTTTGTCTGGGCGGTGCCGCCTCAACCAATGGGAGGCGCGGCCCTGGCCGAGCCCGCTCGCTCCCCGCCCTCCGGCCCGCCGTTGGGGAGCGCGGCTCTGGGATTGGCTGCGCTGCGGTCTCGGGCGTTCTCGCGCTCTGCTTCGGTGCTGGAGCGCGCTTGATAGATACCCTGTGTGCCCCCGCGCTCTAACCGGTCCCGAGCGGTCCACGCGCCCTGTGCGTGCGTCCCGCGCGCGGCCGCCTCCAGGCTGCGCCCTTCTGGGGAAGGGTTTGGGACTGCGTGTGGCATCGAACTCAGCCTTTTTTTCCCCAGCCAGTCAGCCAGGAAATCTGCCTGTAGTCAGCTGATGCAGAGTCACCCTGCAGTTCTTACTTTGAGGGGTTACAGAGGCACGAGGCACATATTTCATTGTGGAGGGCTACCTATAGGCGTTGCGCTGCCAGGATCCTCTGTGACACAGCAAATGTCCTGGCGAACGTCCTTGCTGCAAGAGGCGTTGGAGCCAGGCTCTGCACAGGGCGTGTATATCCCTGGACGGCGAGGAAGCTGACCCTTGAAATTTGTGAAGTTTTTGGATTCACTCAGTACACATTTACAGAGCGTCTGCTTCCTGTGAGGGACCACACAGTTGATATTGGGAGGAGCAAGAAGGCAGTGATTGAACATGTGGGTCCTGGCTGTACGGTGCTCACAGTCCAGGTGGGGATTGGTGGTAGGATGGGGGCTTGCGAATGTTTATAAACAGAAATCCCTCGAATACAACCCTGGCCAGGTAGGTGCTGCTATAGAGGCACAGAAGGAAGGAGACTGGATAAAAGGTTTTTGAATTAGGGGATTAGGAAAGGCAGCTTGGGGGAATTATTTGAACCAGTTAGAACTTGGTCAGATGGACTTGGTCAGATGCAATCAGTTTGGTATGGGATGAACAAGCCTCGGAAATTGGAAAGTACAGGACTTGTTGAGGGATAATGTAGCAAATGATTTGATGAGTAGAAAAGTATACTTGTAGATTCTTGAGGTGAGGAGTTTGAGACCAGCCGGGCCAACATGGTGGAACCCAGTCTCTACTAAAAATACAAAAATAGCTGGGCATGGTGGCACATGCTTGTAACCCCAGCTACAAGCATGGGAGGCTGAGGCAGGAGGATCACTTGAACCCCAGGAGGTGGAGGTTGCAGTGAGCCGAGATTGCACCACTGCACTCCAACCTGGGTGACAGAATGAGATTCTATCTCAATAAATAAATAAATCAATAAATAAATATTATGTGTCTGTTGTGTGCAGGGAATTGTTGCCCATGTTGGAGATACAACAGTGAACAAAACAGACAAAAATTCCTGTTCTCAAAGAGCTTGCATCCTGAGACTGAATGACAACAAACAAGATAAATATGTACAACATGTAGAATGCTATAATGTAATAAAGTGGCAAGGAGGAGGAGGAGAAAATGGAAGCAGAGAAGGATTATTGATAAAAGTCAGGGTTGGGATGGGATAGATGGGGTGGCTAGAGCATGTCTTAGTGAACATTTTAGTAAAGGACTGATGTGAATGAGCCCTGTGGATATGTGGGGAAGAGTGTTCAAGGTAGAGGGAACAGTAAGGACAAAGGCCCTAAAGCAGGAGCTGGCTTGCCATGTTCCAAGAACAGCAAGAAAGCCAGTGTGACCAAAGTACAGTGAACAAGGTAGCAATGAGGTCAGAGGGGCAATGGGGACTGAGAACATAGAGGGCCTTGTAGGCAAACTCTAGATTTTGGCTTTTACTCTGGCAGGAGTTTGGTGTAGGCATGACATGATCTGATTTACGTTCCGTAGGATCCTGCAGGCTGTGCCGAGCAGAATCTGAAGGAACTACAGTGGAACGGGAGTGTAGTTGGGAGGCTATTGCAATAATCCAGGCAACAAGGGATGAAGGCTTAGACTAGGCTGGTAACAGAGGATCCTAGATACATTGAGAAGGTAGCATCAATAGGATTTGCTGAGTGCTGGGCTGTGGCATGTACAGGAAAGAGGAGTCGAGAATGAGGACGATTTAGGGGAACAGGTCTGCGGAACAATAGCACAGGCTCAGTTTTGGACAGGTTACATTTGAGATACCTAATAACCATTCAAGTGCAGATTTGGTTGGGCAGTTGTTTACGTAAGTCTGAGTTTAGGGGAGAAGCCTGGGTTGGAGATCAACCTTTGGGAGTTGGCAGCATGTGAATCATATTTAAAGCTGTGAGTACATGTCATGGTGGTGAGAATAGACCAAGTACAGAGTCTGGAGACTCCCTCATTTAGTAGCTTGTCTTTAATTTGGTAGGCAAGCCCTGTTCTTCGAGCGAGAGAATGCCCGCTTGATCTGGCAGTTATAATTATGGCATTTTTGACAGCTCTGGTAACACTTAGTCTTGCGGAAGGACAGATGAGGAGTGGAATGGGGGAAGCACATGTTCGTGTTGTCATTATAAGGTCTCTATTGAGCCATTCGTAGAATATAGGTCAAAACTGAGAATTAATTATGCCTCATACACTGTTGGTGGGAATGTGAATTAGTACAACCACTACCGAGAACAGTTTGGAGGTTCCTCCAAAAACTAAAAATAGAGTTACCATATGATCCAGCAATCGCCCTGCTAGGTATGTACCCAAAAGGAAGGAAATCAGTCTATCGAAGAGATATCTATACTCCCATGTTTGTTCCAGTGCTTTTTTACAACAGCTGAGATTCGGAAGCAACCTATATATTTTGGTTGGTGCTATATGGGTTGGTGCTACTTCTTTTGCAGCACCAAAAATGTACATTTAACAGACCTCTGCAAGAGTCATGTCAGAATGGAACATAGTGAGCCCAGCATTGAGGCAAGGATGCATAGTTTTCTTTTTTCCTGGAGTAGGAGTGCTTTCCATGTGTTAACACCTTGACAGTGGGGAGGGTGTGCCCTTGAGAGAAGGCCCAAGTGTTTCTAGCATTAGAAAAATGTCTCCAAGATTATAGGTTGATATGTGAGCATCTTGATTTTGTGACAGTATCTTATGAGTTTGGTCCCTGGGAGTCAAGCCCCGTGTGCTCAGTCACCTTGGGGGCAACTAATTCCTTGACTTTCAAGGCTGAGGAGACTGAGCAACCCACCTCCCACAACCATTTCTGTTCCCAAAGTAAAAGGCAAGAGAGTGGTACTTGAAGTTTGAGAACTTAATATTTACAGAGAACAAAGCCTGGCACAGAACATTAAGATGACAAACAGCAACGCTGAGAAGTCCTTGGGAGCCCTGCAGTGGAAATAGCTACAGGTTTCAGAAACATGCATGTAACAGACTACATTGAGAATAGTGCATTGTTCAAGGACTGAGTTTTTATGCACTTCGAACTATTTTGACTTTAGTACTTTTAAATATTGCTGACTTTAAGGAAAACAAATGGAAAGCAGCTCTCTATTTGGAGATCATATTAAAGCATTTTCTGCCACAGGCATTGAGCTAAGGGGTGGAAAAGACTTTAATTATAGACGACTGAATTGGAAGTCTCCCGGTGATGGTGACCTCAGACTCTGGTCCCGGGTCTTGGCGGGAGGAGGTAGAGATGTGTGTACGCAGCGAGCCGGTCAGTACTTAGATGGCGGGAGGGGGTGCCTCATTAAAAAGTCTGAACCAACATGGGCCTGTGCCTTCCATAGAACCATAAAAAGCCAGTCTGGGCTTCATTCTGCTGCCCTCTGCAAGGTGCTTACTGTGGAACCTTCTTTTGTGGCCACAGGCTGACTTTTCACCTCCAATCTGTCCTGTGGGAGCCCACTCAACTCCTGTCCACACCCCAGGGACTCAGAGTGCCTCCTTTGCGTCAGGCTCATTCTAGGCACTGAGGATTTGGTAGCAAGCCAGGTGGACAGGGGGCTCCTGTGTACTGAGCTGATGATCTATTAGAGGAAGATAAAGTAAATAAACAGGATAATTTTGGATTAAGGTAGTTGCTATGAGCGTGATCTTACAGAGACCAAGCTGTGTGTTGCATGGGAGCCACTTTAGTAAGGGAGTCAGAGGACTCAGCATCCAGGATGAGGGCAGAGCAGGAGCCAGGACTCAGGCAGGAGACAGCCTAGCATAGGTGAGGAGCTCTCAGGGTCAGTGCTGGCTGCAGTGCAGTGAGCAAAGAGGAGGGCGGCTTGGTGAACTAGAGGCCTCCAGGGAGGTAGAGGCCAGCCCCGGCAGGCATGGAAAGTTGGCTTTAAACAAGGGAGTCGCAGAGCCTGACTGGTGTTAAAAAGGTTTCTCAGCTTGGCGCGGTGGCTCACACCTGTAATCCAGCACTTTGGGAGGCCGAGGTAGGCGGATCATGAGGTCAGGAGATTGAGACCGTCCTGGCCAACATGGTGAAATCCTGTCTCTACTAAAATAATAGAAAAAAATTAGCTGGGTGTGGTGGTGGGTGCCTGCAGTCCCAGCTACTTGGAGGCTGAGGCAGGAGAATTGCTTGAACCCAGGAGACGGAGGTTGCATTGAGCTGAGATCGCGCCATTGCACTCCAGCCTGGAAGACAGACTCTGTCTCAATCAATCAATCAATCAATCAATCAATCAATAAAAAGGTTTCTCAGGCTGCAGTGCTGCAAATGAGCGTGGCAAATAGAGGCAGGAGTACTAGCGAGAGTTTACTGTAGTTCCGGAAAGATACTATAAGCCAGAGATTCCTGCCTGCTTTTCTTTCCCGAGGATTAAACAGATTAAACGCCCCCACCTGCCTCCGGCAGTGGTTGCTTAGTTAACACTTGCTGCTGACTTTTGGGCCCAGGTAGCTGGTGATCAGTCAGGTTTGGGGTGGCAGCAAACAGGCTGGGGAGGAACCCCCCAGGCAGTACCTTATTACTGCGAACGGTATGACAGACTACATCCAGGTAAGCAAAGGAGAGGCCAGAACCTATGTACCAGCCCACCTTCCTTCCCTTAGGCGTGGAGGAATCACTGTTAACAACAGGAGGGCAAGGCGTGTACATGCTGATCAGCAGTCAATGCAGAAGAGTGGTGATGCCTGGTAGCCTTAAGGTGTTACCAAGAGATTCTTGGCCTTGTTGCAGTAAGGTTGATTTAATCTCAAATGGGGAGGGAAGGGGGAAGTCGTGTGTGTGTTTTAATTACAAGAGTCTCTTACTTGGCAGCTCCAAACTCCTTGCTATAGTGAGTTACCGATGAATTCAGCCTCAGAAACATAGGCCTCTTGTTTCTTGGGATGGGGGGAAAGAGGTGAAGAGCTAAGTCAGATGCTATGTGGCATGAGGGCAAGCTGCCTATAGAGGCAGGTGGGCACCTCAGGAGTGAAGCTGATGCCTTGGGGCATCACAGGTGGGTGTCTCACCAACTTAGAGGAATAGGATTTGCTGATGAGGGGTTAGGTCCCTGAGTCTCCCAGCAGTTGGCGGGTTTGAGGATCAGTGATCTGGCCAACCTGCTCACATTATGAATGGGCGACGGCTTGCCCAAGGTTGCCCAGTGCATTGGTGGCACAGCTAGAGCCAGAACCCAGGCTTCCAGACACCCTGGCTCTTAACTCTTTCCATCATGAGGCTACAGCTTAAGGGAGCAACCAGAGCAGACTACCTGGTACCAGGACTGGACCTGAGTGGAACCGATCCAGCCCAGTTTGACTTTCACAACCTGAAAGAAACATGACTACTCCTCATTAAAGCCCTGAAGACAACAAAGTAATGCTGAGGGTGCGTTTCGTGTTTCAGAACCACCGGGAGGAAGGGGCCATTCTACCGCTTGTCGCTACCATGCTGGCCACCCGCCTCTCCAGACCCCTGTCACGGCTCCCAGGAAAAACCCTACGTGCCTGTGATAGAGAAAATGGAGCAAGGTAAGCAACCAGAGGTGGTGGTGGCGGCCTTGAGAGTGACACTTTCTGGGCAAGCAGAGCTTTGCGCACATGGTTGGTACAGGCGGTAATGAGGCCTGATTCTCAAAGATGTCTTTCAATACCTATGTCTCCTAGCAGAGGAAACTCCGCGGTGTCCTGGGAAGACATTTCTTCCCAGGGTTCACAGGGCAAAAAGGAATATCTTTCATAATTGCTTCTTTTTTTCTTTATTTTTTTTGATGGAGTCTCATTCTGTCATCCAGGCTGGGGTACAATGGCACGATCTTGGCTCTCTGCAACCTCCGCCTCCTGGGTTCAAGTGATTCTCCCACCTCAGCCTCTTGAGTAGCTGGGATTACAGGCACACGCCAGCACGTCCAGCTAATTTTTGTATTTTTAGTAGAGACAGGGTCTCACCATGTTGGCCAGACTGGTCTTGAACTCCTGACCTCAAGTGATCCACCTGCCTCAGCTTCCCAAAGTTCTGGGATTACAGGCGTGAGCCATCCTGCCTGGTCATACCACTTCTTAAAACCCTTGTTATTTGAAGTAACTTTAGACTTAAACACAAAAGTTGCAAAAATCGTTGCAAAGGGTTTCTGGATCCCCTTCAGCTAACTTCCCTAAATGTTAACATCTTACACAGTCATACTGCAATGATCGAAATCAGGAAATTACCATTGAGGGAATACCACTAACTAGTCTACACACCTTATTCCAGTGTTGCCAAGTGGCTACTGACGGACCTTTTTCTGGTCCAGGATCTAATCCCGAATCCCACATGACACGGAGGTATCATGTCTTTTTAGTTTCTTCCTATTGGGGCCAGGTCGTCAATCTTTTTTGCTCACGACCTTGACACTCTGGCTGGTTATGTTGTATAATGTCTCTCAGTTTGGGTTTGTGTGGTAAGAAGCCCGCGGCAGTGAAGCAGTGCTCTTCTCAGCCCATCGTGCCAGGAGGTATTTTATTTTATGTGTCTCATTAATCACCCAGATAACTGCTCTTTTAAAATGTTATGAATGAAATCAGTTCACTGAAATGTCCCAAGACTTCACTGACTCGTTTGTGTGATTTCAAGGAAGCATTATGTAAGTACAAATTAGACAAGCAGCTGTTCTTCTTTGAGAGCGTCTGGAATTGCCTTTTCCCAGGGGATTCAGTGGGCTCTGATGCCACATTTTACTCTTTTGCAGTTTGTCTGAGCAAGGAATAAACAAGAAATGCCTTTTTCCTTCTGTTCTATTTGTGGGGAGTGAAATTGAAGGTTAGGTTAAATTCAAAGTCCCAGGAGCTACATCATTGATATTTTCTATGCTTAGTGTTTTTAGAAGAATGTGCATTTAGGCTGAGACTCCATTGCCCAGGCAATGTGGCACCATCTCAGCTCAGTGCAACCTCTGCCTCCCAGGTTCAAGCAACTCTTCCACCCCAGCCTCCTGTACAGGCATGTGCCATCACACCCAGCTAATTTTTTGTATTTTTAGTAGAGACCGGTTTTCGCCATATTGGCCGGCTGGTCTTAAACTCCAGATTTCACGTGATCCGCCTGCCTCACCCTCCCAAAGTGCTGGGATTCACAGCTCCTGGCCTGGCTTTTAGCAGCATTTGCTTGACAGATACAGAGGTGTCGCTTGGAGCTGGGGCTCCACCTACCTGAGGACACCTTGTGAGAAGAGTTTGGAATGCCCCATCGGAAGGAGGCCACTGCCATCTGGGTGGGGATGGAGCTTGGCTTTGTTGAAGGGCTTGTGAAAGAAGGTGACTAGCTGTAATTGTTTTTTCAGTGAGTGATTCGTAAAAATAGCAAGATCTGTCTCAAATACGGCTTTTAGAGATTTCTGGAGGGTTTTTTTTTTTTTTGAGATGGAGTTTCGCTCTTGTTACCCAGGCTGGAGTGCAATGGCGCGATCTCGGCTCACCGCAACCTCTGCCTCCTGGGTTCAGGCAATTCTCCTGCCTCAGCCTCCTGAGTAGCTGGGATTACAGGCACGCGCCACCATGCCCAGCTAATTTTTTGTATTTTTAGTAGAGATGGGGTTTCACCATGTTGACCAGGATGGTCTCGATCTCTTGACCTCGTGATCCACCCGTCTCGGCCTCCCAAAGTGCTGGGATTACAGGCTTGAGCCACCGCGCCCGGCTGGAGGTTTTTTTTTATAGAGGAGAAAAATCATCCCATAGGAAGTTAAAATACTTTTACAAAGGTTTTGTTCTCAAATTTTAGGAAAGTGGGGCATTAGTCAAGCTTCTGGCTCACTTGAGGGGAAAGAAAGGTTGTCAAAGGGAATTCTGAATCTTCTGGATGGGCTGAGAATTAACTTGGTTAGGTTGAGGGGCCTGGGTTGTAGATGGGCAGCACAGAGTTGAGTCAGAGTAGAGTAAATATCGTCAGGGCAGCATGGAGGGGACAATACCATTTGTAGTTGCTCAAAAAAATAGAAATACTTAGGTGTAATAAAGCATGTTACACGTAACAAAGCATGTTACACCTAACAAAACGTGTAGGATTTGTGTTTTGTTTGTGTTTGTTTGTTTGTTTTGACACAGAGTTTCACTCTTACTGTCTAGACTGGAGTGCAATGGCACGATCTTGGCTCACTGCAACCTCTGCCTCCTTGGTTCAAATGATTCTCCTGCCCCAGCCTCCTGAGGAGCTGGGATTATAGGCAACCCCCAACCACGTCCACCATGCCCGGCTAGGTTTTTGTATTTTTAGTAGAGATAGAGTTTCACCATGTTGGCCAGGCTGGTCTCGAGCTCCTGATCTCAGGTGATCCACCTGCTTTGGCCTCCCAAAGTGCTACGATTACAGTTGTGAGCCACCATGCCTGGTCGCATGTATAGGATTCAAATGCTGAAAACTATACAACGCTGATGAAAGAAATCAAAGATCTATATAAATGGAAACTCATGCTTTACTCAGGAATTGGAAGAGTCAACAAAGTAAAGACACTACCTTTCCCCAAATTGATATACAGGTTTAGCGTACTTTCTATAAAAATCCCAGTCATATTTTTCATAAAGACGAGATTACTCCAAAATTTATATGGAAAGGCAAAGGAAATAGAATAGCTAAAACAATTTTGAAGAAGAAAAATGAGGTAGCAGCACATGTATCAGTGAAATAGAATGGAAAATCCAGAAATAGGCCCACCCAAATATGCCCAACCAATTTTTGACAAAAGTAGAAAAGCAAATCAATGGAGGAAAGATAAAATTTTCAAAAAATGGTAGTAGAGCAAATGGACACAAAACTTAGACCTAAGTCTGACATCTTATACAAAAATTAACTCAAAGTGGATCATAGACTTAAGATATAAAATATAAAACTATAAAACTTTTTTTTTTTTTCTGAGACAGGATCTCCCTCTGTTGCCCAGGCTGGAGTACAGTGGCACAAACTCAGCTCATTACAACCTCTACCTCCCAAGCTCAGGTGATCCTCCTGCCCCAGCCTCCCAAGTAGCTGGGACTTACAGGTGTGAGCCACCACGCCTAATTTTAGTATGTTTTGTAGAGACAGGGTTTTGCCATGTTGCCCAGGCTGGTCTCAAACTCCTGAGCTCAAGCAATCTCCCCACCTCGGCCTCCCAAAGTGCTGGGATTACAGGCGTGAGCTACTGAGCTCAGCCGAAACTGTAAAACTTTTAGAAAAGAACATAGAAGAAAATCTTTGGGTTCTTGGGCAAAGAACTCTGAGACTTGACACCAAAAGCATGCCCCATAAAAGGAAAAAATTAGACTTTATTTAGTGGTTAAGAGTTCAGACTCTGGAATCTCTTAGCCCTGGTTTCAGTTCCAGCTCTATCACTAACTACACTGGGCATTTAAAAATTCCTCCATTGTCGCAAGGGTTGCATGGGTGAATGTAGATGAGGACACTGAGATCTTGAAAGCAGATGTAATTTCCCCAAGCATCATTGTTGGTTGGTGGCAGGAGCTGAGTCACCCACTTCCGAGTCTAAGCGAAACACTTTTCCCCTGCAGTAGACCCTGTTACAGAGGATAAAACGGCAAGTTATAGACTAGAAGAAAAGTTTTGCATACCACATATGTAACAAAGGACTAGCAGCTAGGACATCTGAAGAACTCTCAACATTCCATGGTTTAGAAGAATAAACAATTCGGCCGGGCGCGGTGGCTCAAGCCTGTAATCCCAGCACTTTGGGAGGCCGAGGCGGGTGGATCACAAGGTCAAGAGATCGAGACCATCCTGGTCAACATGGTGAAACCCCGTCTCTACTAAAAATACAAAAAAAAAAAAAAAAATTAGCTGGGCATGGTGGTGCGTGCCTGTAATCCCAGCTACTCAGGAAGCTGAGGCAGGAGAATTGCCTGAACCAGGAAGCGGAGGTTGCGGTGAGCCGAGATCGCGCCATTGCACTCCAGCCTGGGCAACAAGAGCAAAACTCCGTCTCAAAAAACAAACAAAAAAAAGAATAATACACAATTCAATAGAATATGGGCGAAAGACACGAAGAGACATTTTCCTAAACATATGGTGCTATGGTCTGAATATTTGTGTTCTCCTCAAATTCCTGTGTTGAAATCCTAACCCCCGAGGTATTGGTACTAGGAGGTAGGGGCGCTGGGAGGTGATTAGTTCATGAAGGTGGAGCCCTCATGAATGGGATTAGTGCCCTTGTAAAAGAGATCTGAGAGAGACTCCCCACCCCTTTGCCATGTGAGGTTACAGTCAGAAGACTTCTGTCTATGAAGAAAGTAGGCCCTCACCAAACACAGTCTGCTGGCACTTTGTTCTTCAACGCCCAGCTTCTAGAACTGTAAGGAATATATTTCTGTTGTTTATAAGCCACCCAGTCTATGGTATTTTGTTATAGCAGCCCAAACAGACTGAGACAGGTGGCAAATAAACATGAAAAGATGATCAGCATCATTAGCCATTAGGGAAATGCCAATTAAAACCACAGCAAAATATGATACAGTTTTTAGCGTGGCTAAAGTAGAAAATAGTGACACCACCAAGTGCCAGCAAGGATATGGGGAAACTGGGTCACTCAGACATTGCTAGTGGGAATGTAGACTGCAGTAGTCACTTTCATAAACAGTTTGTCAGTTTCTTAAGAAACTAAACATGCAACTACCATATGACCCAGCAATTACACCTCTGGACATTTATTCAAGAGAAATGAATACTTAACGTTTGTGCAAAAACCTATGTAGGAGTGTTCAAGCAGCTTTATTCGTAATATGCTCAAACTGCAAACAACTCCGATGTCTTTCAGTAGGTAGAGAGTTAAGCAAACTGTGGTACCCCTGTGCCATGGAGCACTGCCTAGCCACAAACAGGAGCAAGCTATCAATACGCAATAATATGGATGAATCTTCAGAGAATTACGTTGAATGAAAAAGCCAGTCCCTAAAGGATACACACTGTATGATTCCATTTACATAACATTCTTGAAATGCTAAAATTATAGAGAAAGGGAACAGATTTGTGGTTAAAGATGGTGTGGGGTGGGAAGAAAGTAGGCATGGCTATAAAAGGGTAACATGAAGGATCCCTGTGGTGATGGAAATGTTCTGTATTTTTATTGTATCAGTGTCAATGTCCTGGTTGTGATATTGTAATGTAGTTTCACAAGATGCTACCCTTAGGGGAAATTAGGTAAGAGGTGCCTGGCATCTCTCTGTATTATTTCTTAACTGCATGTGAATCTACAATTATTTCAAAATACAAAGTTTGATTGAAATAGCTATCAGGAAGCTTAGCCCCCCGGGGATTAAGACACTGAAATTGCGGAAGGCTTTACCAAAACTATACTAATACAAGAATAGTTCACACTTGAATTACCCTGAAATATTACCTATGTACCTTGGAAAGCAGAAAATGGAACTTTATTGGAGTGGGGCACCGGATGGTCAAGGTTTGGCAGAGCCTACCCAACAAAAGTAGCTTCTAAATTGGCTTTATTCTCAGGAAGGCTCTTCCTAGAGAGTGGCAAACATAGCCATAGCAAATGCTGGCTCACTTTCTATCAGCCTAGCAACCCTGGTGGAAAGAGGGCCTCTTTCTCAGCTGTACCAGCAAGCTGTCTCCAGGAGCCTGGGCTGGAGAGACGCTCAGTCCTGCTTCAGGCCAGTGGTGGCGGAGGGTCTGTCTAGTTGCTTCTGCCCCAGGAATAAGGTCAGTCCTGTACTCATGGCTTTCTTTTCTCTTGCAGACGCCCACTATTGTTTTGTTCTGCCTCCTTTATCCCTATTGGTCGTCGGACTTATGCCAGTGCGGTGGAGCCGGTGAGTGGAAGCCCAGCTACCTGGGGGCGAGTTGGATGGTCAGAACCCCTTCCTCTCAGCCCCTGGGCCCTAAGCTACCCTCAGAGTGGAGCTTTAGTGTTTCCAGGACACTCGGAGCCACTTTCTCCTTCAACCCTCCCTCAAAGCTCCTCATCAGTAATAATATCACATACCCCCATCCATGTGGGAAGAAGCAGTAATGAGGCATTCCAGCCCCTCCCAGCCAGGAAGCTATCAGTGGAGGCCTAGTGGGGAGCCAGCACTCCCAGCCCCACTCAGCAAGTTAGGGGTTAAGAATTTAGACTCTAGAGGCTGGGCGCAGTGGCTTACGCCTGTAATCCCAGCACTTTGGAAGGCCGAGATGGGAGGATCACCTGAGGCCAGGAGTTCAAGACCAACATGACTAACATGGAGAAACCCATCTCTACTAAAAGTACAAAATTAGCCAGGCATGGTGGCGCATGCCTGTAATCCCAGCTACTCAGGAGGATGAGGCAGGAGAATTGCTTGAACCCTGGAGGTGGAGGTTGCAGTGAGCCGAGATTGAGCCGTCGCCCTCCAGCGTGGGCAACAAGAGCCAAACTCCATCTCAAAAAAAAAAAAAAAAAAAAAGAGTTTAGGCTCTGGAATCTGTCAGCCCTGGTTTCAGTTCCAGCTCTATCAGTAACTATATTGAGCATTTTAAAAAAGACCTCTGTTTTCCCACATGTAGCATAGGTGATTGTAGATGAGATCCTGAAGGCAGAAGTAATTTTCCCAAGCAACTTTGCTGGTTGGCAGCAGAGTGTGGGTTAGAACCTGGCCTTTCCACTATACCGCGGTGCTTCTCCAGACAGCAAGAACGAGGTAGGGAGGGCCAGGCTTGGGCCACTCAGGAAGTGTCACTGCACAGAGGGTGGAGAGGTCTGGTCACTTTGCCCTGGACCCTGGGTTCCTAACATGGGATCTGACCTTGTATAACAGGTTGGCAGCAAAGCTGTCCTGGTCACAGGCTGTGACTCTGGATTTGGGTTCTCGCTGGCCAAGCATCTGCATTCAGAAGGCTTCCTTGTGTTTGCTGGCTGCTTGATGAAGGTAAGAGCTGGTTATCTCCTTCTCCATTGTCTTTTACACATAGTCATTCTTTTATAGTCTTTCAAAAATTCCTTTCCTAACAACTGGCTCATCTTTGCTTAAACAGGCCTGTACATTTTCCACTGGCTTCAGTCTCACTCTTCATAGCTTTGTCCGCCAGTCATCCATGCATCCATCCATCTACTCATCCATCCATCATTCGTTAAATGCTAATGATGTACCTGACACTTTGCTAGGTGCAGTAGAAGAATGAGACCTTGTCCCTGTTCTGAAGTTGCTCCCTGTGGAGTGGTGAGGAGACACCCATGAGTAGACACAGCTGAAGAATTAGAGTGAAGAAGATGCTCAGGGGTGTGCAAGAAGGTTCAGCGAGACTGTACAGAAGGAAGGGGCTGATGATGGCATGCCAGAGGAAGTGACATTTGTTCTGGGCCCTGGAGAGTGAATAACGCTGCCATAGGAGGAGACTGGGAGGAGTTGCCTGCCAGACAGGAGGAATCACCCGGGCAGAGGCTTGAAAGCATGAGGCTCCTTTGGGACACATTAAGTAGAATTGAACGTGCATGAAGGGAAGCACTGGGACATGAGACTGCAAAAGCAAACTGTGGATAGTCCCCCAGTTTAGAGAGTTGTGCGCCCACCACCACAATCCACTTTTCGAACCTCTCCATCACTCAGAACTCTGTCTCTTGACCACTGACAGTTAATCCCCACATACACCTCTAGCCCTGAGCAGCCACTGATTCTAGTTCTTTAGGTTTGTATTTTCTAGACTTTTCATCCACATGGAATCATACAATACATGGCCTTTTGGGCCAGGCTTCTTTCACTTAGTGTAATGTTTTTGAGAGGCATCTATGCTATAGAATGCATCAGTAGCTCGTTCCTTTGTATTGCTGAATGGTATTCTCTTGTATGCCTATACTATATTTTTAAAACATCCATTCACTAGTTGCTGGATGTTTGGATAAAAATGTTAGGATTTTGGGTTATTGTGAATAATGCTGCTATGACTGTTCACACACATGTCTCTGTAGATGTGTGTGTTCTACCTACTCCTTTTAATGAAATTTAGAAACTGAGATCTAGGTATTAGGTGGGCTCATTGCCAGTGGGGCTTAGGGCATTGCTCATCCTTGCCCCTCTCAGTGGACAGAGCTAAAGATGTATGTATCATCACACACATGCACACATATGCACACGCTTTATCTATCTATAGCATACATCTGAAGTCAGTGTAACCTCGTGATTTTATTTATTCATAAAATCATGAGGTTACATTGATCTCCTACTCCAGTTCAACACAACGGCATTCTTCCTTGCTTATCTCATTCATATTTGTTCCTTCTCCTGCAGTTAGAACTCCGATTCCTATATCAATATATTTACTCAATTGACTAGTCCTACAATACACACAACATAGTTTCAGCATTGCTATATTCATATCATTACAAATAGCAAACTTTACTAAGTAGGCTGTCAGCTTGGATCCTCCAAGAAGTCAATGCCAAAATCGGAGTAGATATGCAAGAAATTGATTAGGGAGATGCCTATAATGTTCAAGGGGGAAGGGGCAGAAAAAGGCAGGGAAAGCTTTTGATTGCAATACAGTCTGTGATAAGAAACTGCAAGCAAGGAGGATTAGGGAGGCCGTGCTTCAGACTGCAGTGTAGACTGAAAGTCTTGGTTGGGACCCTGGGGAATCCCCGAGAAAAGGTTGTCTGATAGAAGAGACCAGTGTTGGGCGGGAATGGCCCACCATTCCTACCATGTGCAGCCATTGGCCGGGAGCATGTGTGGTCATGGCATTCATGCCATGGCTGTGAAGTTGTAGTGGTTGCGAAGGTGTAGCTGTCAATCGCTCCCACAGCAGACTTTCCTGAAGGGAGGTCTAAGCACCTCCGTGGTTGCCACAGTAGAGCTTATTTAGGATTTCTTTAAAGTGTTTTTTGACTTTAAAGGTATGGCTAAAAGGTATACAAAGCACTATTTTTTTTTTTTTTTTTTTAACACGGAGTCTTGCCCTGTTGCCCCAGCAGGAACTAGAGTGCAGTGCCGCGATCTTGGCTCACTCTAACCTCTGCCTCCCGGACTCGAGCAATTCTCTTCCCTCAGCCTTCTGAGTAGCTGGGATTACAGGCACCCACCACCACACCCGGCTAATTTTTGTATTTTTAGTAGAAATGGGATTTTAGGTTTCACCATGTTGGCCAGGCTGATCTTGAACTCCTGACCTCATGTGATCCACCTGCCTCAGCCTCCCAAAGTGCTGGGATTACAGGTGTGAGCCACCATGCCTGGCCCAAAGCACTATTTTAAAAAGCTACATGGATTAGTGATTGTTTTTTATCATTATATCATTTATTTGAAATACAATGCATTTGTGATCTGTTTTCCCTCATTCTTGTTGGTATAATTTAATTTCTGAATATGTAAACCATTAGCAAGTTTGAAAAGTCAAAAATTATATAAATAGGTAAAATCAAAGTAGTGTTATTCCCTCACCTTCTAGCCGTTCCACTCCATTGTTTCATTTCTCCCCATGTTATACAAGTGTTTGCACATTGCATATACTCTTTGGTTTTTTAAAAGTTAACAATATATCTTGAAAATCAATTTGTATGACCTCACAGAGATCTTATTTACTTTTTAAACAGCTTTGAAGCACCCCACTGAGTAGGTAGATCATAATTTACTTCACTAATCTCCTATAGATGAGCATTTAGGTGCTTTCAATATTTTGCAATTACAAAGAATGCCGCAATGAATAACCTTGTATTTTTGCATTATTGGGGGATTATCTTTAGACTAGATTCCTAGGAGTGAGATTGCTCTTAGATCAGAGGGTAAATAAAATATATTGTCATTTTAAAAGATTCCAAAATTTTCCATCACAGGGTTATGTAATTTTACATTCCCACCAGGAGTGCATGAGTGCCTATTTCCACACAATTTCACCAGCAGAGTATGCTTCAAGCTTTTGGCTTTTGCAAGTCTGATAGGTGGGAAATATATCTCAGTGTTGTTTTTATTGTATTTCTCTTCTTCTTCCCTGTTCTTTAAGGACATGATCCAAAAGCTTCCCAAATATCACTTGTACTCTCATTCTCTTGGCCAGAATGTAGTCACGTGGCCCTACCTGGCTGCAAGGGAGGCTGGGAAATGTAGTGAGTATTCTGAGACAATGTGTACCCTGCCTAAAACATCAGGCGTTTTACTGCTATAGAAGAAGGACAAAGGGAAGAATGGGCATTCAGGACAACTTGCTTTCTCTGCTCAGTGGGTGAGACATTTTTCTTCATTTTCAAGGCAGTAGAAACCCAGGGGAGGACTTTTTCATACTATGTTTGATATCTTTGTAATGTTCCATACCTGTTCATTTTAAAAATTTCAATGATATAAACAAGTACAAGAAATCATTTGCATTGCCGCACTCTAAACATCATTCCATCTGGATCAGAGAAGGTTTTGTTTGTCCTTTTAATCTTTACTTCTTTTGAATTGTAAAAGTAATACTACATATTCATAATAAATTCAAATAATATCGAAGTATATTATATAAAAAAGTAAAGTCTTGTCAGGGGCGGTGGCTCATGGCTGTAATCCCAGCACTTTTGGGGGCCGAGGTGGGCAAATCACTTGAGGTCAGGAGTTTGAGACCAGCCTGGCCAGGATGGTGAAAACCTGTCTCTAACTAAAAACACAAAAATTAGCTGGACTTGGTGGCACGTGCCTGTAATCCCAGCTGCTTGGGAGGCTGAGGCACAAGAATCACTTGAACCCAGGAGGCAGAGGTTACAGTGAGCCGAGATTGTGCCACTGCACAATAGCCTGGGCAACAGAGCGAGACTCCATCTCAAAAAAAAAAAAAAAAAAAAAAAAAATGGTCAAGTCTTCTCTTGCTCCAAGGCAGCGTAAATGCAGGTGTATACATTATTTGGGACTTTTGCTATTACAGGTTGAGTATCTCTTATCTGAAAGTTGCATTATACTTGCTCAGCATCTCTAATCTGATAATCCAAAATCCAAAGTGCTCAAATGAGTGTTTCCCTTGAGCATCATGCCAGTGCTCAAAAAGTTCATATTTTGGGACATTTCAGATTTGGGATTATTGGATTAGGAGTGCTCAACCTGTATTAACAAAGCCTGGTGAGCCATCTTGCACATACGTCTTTACCTGCTACCACTGGCGATTCTCAGGAACATTTTGTAGATGTGAGAGTGCAGGGTTTAGATTTTGTTCAAATCCCCAAACTGCTCCCCTGAAAGGCTACCACTCCTGGCAGTGTGTGAGAGAGGCTGTCCGGGGAGGGTTGTGGGGAATGGGTGTGGCATCCTTGGTGCTGGGTTTTTCTGCAGAATGTGGACCTGCCTCAGCAGGTCCTGGTAAGAACCGAGATGCCATAAAAATGTTTTAAAGGGCCAGGCACGGTGGCTCATGCCTGTAATTCCAGCACTTTGGGAGGCCAGAGCAGGTGGATCATGAGGTCAGGAGTTCAAGACCAGCCTGACCAACATGATGAAACCCCATCTCTACTGAAAATACAAAAAAAAATTAGCTGGACATGGTGGCATGTGCCTGTAATCTCAGCTACTCAGGAAGCTGAGGCAGGAGAATCGCTTGAACCCAAGAGGTGGAGGTTGCAGTGAATTGAGATCGCGCCACTGCACTCCAGCCTGGGTGACAGAGTGAGACTCCGTCTCAAAAAAAAAAAAAAGTTGTAAAGTCCCTTGTCCTTTGTTAGGCTTCTCTGCCATTGTGCTGGCTTGTCCAGTGACACAAGGATCCACACTCAGATTCCACAGCATAGTGCAGAGGCTGCTCGATGCTGCAGAAGACTCTCCAAAAGAGTCTTCTCTCTTTGAAGAGCCGTGGGGCCTTGGGTTCTGGTCCCGGATTGACCACTAACCTTGGGAGGGGGCGAACACTTTCCCTCCCTGGGCCTCAGTCTCCTCTTACTACACTAATAGGATTGGACTGGTGATCCAAGGCCCTTCCA